AAAGAATATATATATTTATGTGTGTGTGTATTCAGTCCTTACATATGTATATATGCACATAATATTTTATATGGGCACATACACACACACATATTTGTGCGCGTGTGTGTGTCTGTGTATGTCCCAACATTCATATCCACATCCTACATGCATATTAAAACTAGGTGCATGTGCAAAAAGACAAGCCATATATATATATATTTGCATTTGTATGTATGCGTGTGTTCAAATCGCATTATACAACCACGCATTGTGTATGTGTATATCCAGACATAGAACTATAGACAAATATAGAAAACTCCGTACGCATATATATATGATATCCTATATATGCATATATATATATATATATATATATATATATATATATATATATATATATATATATATATGTGTGTGTGTGTGTGTGTGTGAAAAGAGTTTAGTTATTACATATGTACATAAGCATACATACATATACATACACATCTTATACATATATATTATAACTATGTGTATGTAGATAAAGATAAACACACACACACACACACACACACACACACACACACACACACACATATATATATATATATATATATATATATATATATATATATATATATATATATGCAAAATTCAGATATGTGTATTTAAATGATGCGGAAAATGACAAAGTACCGTTTCCAAGGAATGTAAATAAAACGCAACTCAATTGGCAGAAATAGTTTATCGTCTTTTCCCCACGCCCGGCGTGCCTACGGCTTATTTTCTTCCTTGAAATGATAAATTTGAAGTTTAACATTCTATTTTAGTCTGGATCAATTTTCATATTATGAAATGAGTGGCTATCTTGTTCGATAGATTTCTAATAAGCACAATCAGACATGATATATAACCGCACGTCTCGAGAAGAACTAGCGAATCACGAAAGACAATCTCAGCCTGCCTTTTCGCATATTATCCTCCTTAAACACGATAGCTCTTCAGGATGTAGGCGATTACTGTCCTCCACAGCTTTATTATATTTAATACTAACTGGATTGATTGATTTGTTTTTTTACGGCTCATCAACCTAAGATTATTTGACGCCAGGAAATATTTTTAGATTGTAAGAATTCTTTCTGAGATTTTTTTTTCACCTCAAGAAAGGCGATAACGCCACTAAGACGCAAGGGGGATACTGGGGGTAAAATAGAAAGAAAAGACTTTAGAAGGAACCGGAAACGCGATTTATAAACATCGAACAACGGAAAAACCTCTACTCGTGTTCAAAAGACTGGGAAGAGTGTGAACCGGGTGATAGGAGAACCTATTTACTTCTATTATAATAGTGATTCCTTGATACGAAGCTTACTGATTAACCCATAGATGGGGAGATTATGAATACATATCTTTCACAAGGCTGTTATTTAGTAAGTGTATATAAAGAAGCTGGCTGAAATTGGAACTCAGCTCTCCAATTTCCAATTCGGTGCCGTTATTCATTACACCACCCGCACATCCAACCTTACAAAACCTGGTATTCCCAAGCAGTCACAAATTTATTTATTGACTAGTCTCGTCGTTGCTTAACTTCTGTGATCGTAAGAGGACAGGTGTTTCAACGTGACTTGGCTGCAAGCCAAATATAGACTGGAAAGATTATTGGCAGTACAATTCTTTGAAAAGTTCGTGGTGTGGTTTTTCGTTGCCTTATCCAAGGTTTCGATTTGAGAGTTATTTTCCTCTTATACTGGTTACCATTCTGTCTTGACATTTACCTTATAGTTTCGAAAAAAAAAACAGATGGCTTCATGCCTTTCAAAAGGACCTTATTGCAAAAATAAAGCCAATTTCAATCAGAATTTGCTTCTGTTTTTCTGGTGCCATTTTCTGCTATTGAAAGTGTTAATCCAATCATATCTCCTCTACGTATGTTGTTGTTATACTCGCAAAATCTTAAGGAATTCTGAGAAGTATCTCTAAAGTCAAATGAACTCTTCATTGCTTGTAAAATCAGTCGATCGTATGCCTTTCGCAGACCTTAGAGAAAGTTCAAGTTTTTCTGTTCACTTTCAGTTCTATCTACATTATTCGGACTATTGTCCTCATCTTTGTCGCTATTTTTATTACAACGTTTCGGCCGTTGTACGCTACGCGCTTCTTCAGTTGGTTGGAATGTCGAACTGAACCCAGTAGACTGTTCTAGTTCCACGTGCGATATTTAATGGAAGTCAGTTTTCAGTTATCTCCTGTTAATTCCCCTGCCTTAACCGGGTATTGAACTCACACTCCTGTCACTGGATCTAACTAACGCCTTTATCCAATGTGCCATGTGACCTTGACGACATCTGTATATGAATTTCTGGGTATTATAAACCTAATGTCTTCCGCAACCATTTTACCAGTGCTCATATTGCAATTTTTGCCGTTACCATATATGTTTTTACCAGAGTTCATATTGCAACTTTTGTTGTTATTATCGCTTTTCTCTGGCACTCCTTATTACTAGTTCCCATATTGTATTCATTTCTATGCTTGGTCGACTCAGGAAATTTTTGTGACCTAGCATATAAGCTGATTCCTTAATTTTACGAATTTTCCAATGGCGTTCTTTGTCTAAGATGTCAACCTGATCCCACAGATAGCAGCGATCTCCCTTCTCTCTCCATATGTGGTCAGACACGCCTGATTTTTCTACTTCCATTGCGTATAACGGCCGAAACGTTGTAATAAAAATGGCGACAAAAATGAGGACAATAGTCCTAATAATGTAAAAAGTATACATAATATCTCATCTCAGAAATATCGACAGATCACCTTGAGCTGTTTCTCAAGTGTAGTGGTTCTCAAACATTTGTGCCCAATGAACCCTTTTCACCATATGGCAGAATGCCATTCCCCGCCCTTTCCAAATTGTCTAACTCAAAAGCTGCATTCCAAATAATATGCATGTATTATTGAAAAATCTTCATTCTTCTCCATATTAGCACATATACATTTACATAGATTATTTTCAGAGATGAGTTTCACAGATTTAATTGTAATAGAAAAATGTTGATGGATTTGTAAGTTTGAATACATTTACAGTATTTTTTTAAAATTCACAACAAAGTTTTAAATAAATAAAATCAATCATACTTCAACAAACAAAACGTTTAATAGAATACCAGAGTATTGTAATTCAATAAACAAAAGTTCAGGATATTTAATTCTGATTTTAGTCAGATAGAGATTTACAGTTACTTAGAAACTTGTGAAAAAGCAAAAGATTTTTTCCCTGCTACTGAAATCCTAAAGTTACCCACTGCGAGAGATTCCTCCTCCTCGAGAGAATCCCCCACCTGGGGTGATTCCTTCCTGGTTGAGAAGTCCTGCTCGAAAGAAAGGCAAAAACAAAATGTCTTTTCTCCCAGTTATTTGTATTCTCTGGCCTTGTTCGTTAACTACTCCAAGAGAAGAAAAGCTTTGAATTCATAATTGTGGGAATAAAATTGAAGGCAGAATAAAAACAGACTTCCACCACCTTTCTCATTAATAGTCGATTGCTTTACAATTTACAAAATATTTTTAAAAATGGAGGTTCTTGAGGCTATTACCACCTATGTGTCATGGTTTTAAAAAGACACTATTACATTTGAGGGATGATAGTAAAAAGAAAAAAAAATATCTATAATTGCCTGTAAGCTATGATTATTACAAAACGAAAAGCAAATGTGTACGATTGCTCTTGGGACATGGTCCGTCTTTCACAAAGATAAAGAAAAAAAATCTATGACTTTGAAATATGTTTTTTTAGTTCATCCAGCTAGTTTCATCTTTATTGCTTTTTATAATAATTTGATTGAGGTTTAGAAGATCATTCCTTTCACAAGTGATTTATAAAATTATCAAATGAAGATTTTCCACACCGTAAGGAGGCATGTTACATGTGACATCTATTTTAGTTATTGCTATTATTGAAAGATTTTAATTGACGTCGTTTCTCTTAATTGATAATATTCATTGTTTCCAGTCTATGAGATCCGATAAAGGAGAGTCTTGAATGAATTGCTCTTCATTGCTTGCAGCCATTCAGACACTTAACTTATTAATACTCATCATAAAATCCGGTATTAATATCCGTATAATAATCTGGGATTAATTACAATAATGTCTGGTATTAATTATGAAAATGAAAGTAAAAATTCGGTATTATTTATAAGTTTATAAAAATCTATTTGGAGAATGTATTTCTCATAACAATAAAAATTCAAACATTGGTTACAAAATCAATTCATTATCTCGTCGATTAAATTAATAATGACTCCATTAAATCGCATATCGCCAGCAACAGTAAAGGTAAAGAAATCCTATAAATATTGTAAAATTAATTTTCTATATTATGAGTAAAATAAGACTACAAATAATAGAAGATTTAATAACTAATAATAATAATTCTTAAGAGAAGAGTGTGATTTATGAAAAGGAAAAGAAAATGAAATAGACAGTGTTTGAAAATGTTCAACAATATTTGGATATTATGTCTGTCTTCAAGTTTTATTTAAAAACAAATTTAAGGTATAGAAATAGATATATTCACCAAAAATTATAAGTCTTTGTAGAAACGTTGTTTGTCTTGTAATGAAAAAGAAAGCAGCTGTACTGGGAATCAAGGCGTCAAAACAAATGAAAAGCCACCAGCGTGAAGGCATGAAACTGAAACCTGCTTAATATAATGGTGATCTTGTTCATCTTGGAATTTTCCGTTAGCGGATTAGTTACTAAGAGGAATTAAACAAACAGATTCTCATAAATTTTATGGAACACTCCTGTCCTTCTGTTCATCCCTCTGGGCTGGGAAGTTAGTAATTTGCATACGTAATTAATTAAGGTCACAAAGTCGATAGATTATATAGTGGCAGATTTTAATAAAAAACCTAAATTTATAAGAGAGTTTTAGAAGTACTTTCAGGTCGGGCAACCCAGTTCACTTAGTGGATTCAAGTTTTCCTTAAAAGCTAAAAATAGCCAATGCTCACGATAACAGAGATACACCAGATATGACTCACAGTGAAATACTTAACTTATCAACAGAAGGCAACTGAAAACGAAATTTTAAAAAAATGAAAAAGCAAAGAAAAAAAAGTGTTTGACGAATGTTCAAACATGTCTCGACATTTTTTCTGTCTTCTTCAAGTAATGTTCAAAAAGATTTTACAAGTATAAGAATATAAAAAGAAAATCTACAAAAATTTATAAGTCTTTGGACTTATGTCTCTTGTTTTGAAAAATGGCTGTACTGCTAATCAACGTGTCAAATTGACTAAAACGCAGCCAACTTGAGGTAACATGATGGCAATTTTCCGTTAGTTGATTGGTTACTAACAGGAATTAATCAGATTCGTATGAATTTTATGGAACTCTCCTGTCATTTTGTTCATTCCCAATATTAATAATAATAGACCATCAACCCAGCAGCAATAAAATGTCATTGAGTTTAGGAAGGGATAATATAAAAATATAAGAATCAATATTAAAAGGAAACTCCAAAGAGGATTGTTCCTTTATCTGAGTTGTCTCAGATCAGTGTCGGTTTTATTTCCGTCATTCAATCGGGGAGTTATGCACCTACTAAGTATTTTGATCAACTGCTGTACAAGTTTATTTATGTCTGTGTTATGAATAATCAAGATTAGTCTCCCCTTGTTTTGCTACTTTCCTCTTCGAAAGATCTATTTCTGTTTACTGGGACTATAAAAGGACACTATACACAAACCTTGTATTCTCACTTGAATAAAGTTTTCTTAAAGCCTATACCTGCGTACTTTTGTCATTACAGGTTGTAAATCATTTATAATTGTTTACTCATTCCCTGTTCACACCAAATAGTAATGGTGAGATTAACTGTTTCCTTATGAGGAAGCGTTTATCATTCATTGTCCTAACACTTAACTTTACTGTCGGTTGACATTTATAATTTATAAAATCTTTGTCTTAAAACATTTTTTTCTGTAAAATAACTCCGCTAACTATTTACGCTCTTTCAAGTACTGATAATTATGTGGTTCGTAAGATTTTGTTTAAAGTAGAAAGGAAAGTCATCCTTTTGATTATGTCATTATTTTCTCTTCGAGTTACCTGTGCTATCCATTTTTGTTATTGCTGCTTTTGAGAGATGTGGACTCTGTTATTTGGTAGAGTTCTTTGTTTGTGACATCCCCCGCTGTCGTTGCGCCAAATGTGACGTCTGCCTGGCCGCGCCCGCCGTGCTGTCCTGGTCGCGGTGCCAATTGTGACGTCACCCCGTCTGTCTCCGCATCGTCGCCGTCCTATCCTGTCCTGTGACGAAAATTGTGACTTGGTATTGGTCGCGGCACCAAACGTGACGTTTTAACCTTTTGCTGATTCGGATGGGAATCTGGTTAGATTCGGTATCAGCCTTGTCGTCCCCAGCTCGCCTCCAACGTCTGGTTACCGAAGTAACTGTTTTGATTTCTAGTCTAACCTACCCACGTTGTGATTTGATCTTAGGTAGACGAAATCAATCAGTCGCCGGGCAGTAATGCAAGCTGAGTCCGGACAAGGGTAACACCGCACAAGTATTTGTAAAAGAAAATAAAGTAATAACTCGAAAAGTTCAAATGTGTTAAAAAAAAGATAACAATATTTTATATCTGGTTTCTGAATACAGGACTGCATCTTCCTCCCAAACCGCTAATATGGATTCGTGACACTTTGTGTTTGTTAGGCGAGTCTTAACATCTTAAGTTGTTTGTTCTTTAAGAAACTGGTTCTTGGTGTATCTTCAGGCGATATTCGTAAAACATGTTTTGGTAGTGTGAGTCTAAGTCGTTCTTCAAAAATAAATTGTTCTTGGTTAGAAGTTGAGGTCGAGAATGCGCGAATCTTAAGTCAGCTTCCTGCGAGGCGGTCTCACTCTGCAACTCCAACTGCTCAGCAACTCAGCTGCGAACTGCGAACTCAACTGCCTGTCTGTCTCCAACCCCAACTGCGAATTGCGAACTGCCGCTGTCTCAACTGCTTTCTACTCGTTGCGACTCTGCTTATATGGACGCCGACCAAAACCGGGGTGGGCCTGCCGGGGTTTGAGATTCCTTGATAATTCTAAATCCGCATTAAGAATTTTCTTTGTTTTTGGTCAGGAAAATTCACCACTTCAGGGGCGTCTCCAGGTTTCCCCTCTCTCTCACGGTGGCATCTCACACCGATCCCTTCAGGGGTCGTCAACAGGCCCCCCCTCCTTTTTCACATGATTACCTTCACCTACCGCTCACGCCACCATTCAGCCAATGAGCGTTCAGCAGCGTGTGTGTGGTCGGTCTGGCCTCAGTTCAAGATTATCTCCCAAAGAAAAAAAGTAAATTATTTTCCCTTTTTTTTCTTTTCCTTCTTTTCTTCGAGGAGACCTCACACGACTCTTAGGATGGTCTCCGAACTTCATCTGGAGTTCGTCAACGAGATTTTTGCCAATTATCTGTTCCGATAAAATAATTTTTACCAAGTCCAGGTTTGGACAATAAAACAGGTGTTTTTCTTTCAAACCAATGTTATCTCCGATGATAGTTAATGGTTTAATCTATCTTTCCTTCTAACTTGTGGGTGGTCCAACGGATATTTTTCTCGCGACCCAATTAATTTTTATCTCTCAGTTTCTGTTTCGTAGGCCACTTGACCAACCTGAAATTTGTGATTCTGCAGTGCCAATTTGTGAGATCTGATGAATCATAGCATTATTTCAGACCTAAAAGTTTATTCAATTGAAGCTATTGAACTGAGAAAAACAGTTGTATATAATGGAATGTTTAGAAATTTCTAAACAAACTTGGCTTCATGCATAATGTTCATATAGGAGTCTTATAGTCACTTATCAGTTATAGTGAAGTGTATGAGTGTGGAAACAGGATAGTTTGATTGGGCCTTGTTAGTTAGATAGACCACCATAAGAGGGGTATAAAGCAAGAAAATCAAATTGTAAAGTGAACAACAAATTTATATACATATAAATCAATTAAGGTCTTTACAAATAAAATGAATGTATTTTGGTTGATACAAAGTCGTCAAAATGTTCGTAGTAGTCCTTGCAAGAATGAGTTTATGTGTGCGTAGGCAGGAACGTATGTGTGGATGTATGTATGTATGTATAAGCATTATCGTAGGGTAGGAATGTCTTTGAAGTAATCACTCAGTTTTAAATGTTCCTTTAGTTTATCAAGTATAAAAGAGAACGCTTGACGTTGTGAAGAGACTTAATCTACTCGTCTCCTCTCTGCCCGTCTTTTATTTTGTTTTTGGGGCTTGAAAAAGTCATTTGGGAATTCACTCCCGGATATGATTCAGGCCTTTTCATTGGATGACGAACATACTTCGCGTCTGCTCGCGAAAAGGTCCGTAAAAGAATTTGTTTCTGAGAATTGAAGATTATTTGAATTTTGTTTTTAAATGTTTCCTAGTTTTCTTTTGTCCGACAAACATTTCGCATCAAGGTGTGAAATTTCACGAGTTTTGTTTTGGATTTTTTTTTGCGTGTGTGTTAAGCGAAGTTTGTAAATTCGATTCTTTTTAAATTTCTAACAAAATCAATGAGTCAGTGCTTAGCATTTGAATTTTATATCTAGATCTTGTTTTGTTCACTACAGTCTAGATCGAATGACGCTATTCAAGAACATTACTCGAGTTCTTAGGTTAAGGCTATAGTTTTGTAGTACCTTGTAGTGTTAAACCAAACTATTCCTAGCACCACTTATTCTATATACAATTTCCTTATCTTCTATTCTAAATTTGTTGTAATTGACTCAAACAATAGTAACTGATTGTATTTGGTAGAGATCAACAAATAGAAAATTTCCTTATTCGACTTGCGTTCTTCTCAGTATTCTAACTTGATTTTACTATGCCACCCCAATTAAAAAAGAAAATAATTCTTTAAGGAAAAAGTATTTTGAGAGCCTAATAATAACAATATTACCAACAATGAACTCACGTCAAAAGCATTATATTTCATCGCCAACTTTTGTGGAATCCATTCTTTAAAAAAATCGAACCTATGTTTATCTAAAACTACTAGAACTGATACTACTATTAATGTTACTTCTGCCACACACACACGGTATTTACCACTAGGACGAGATGTGACAGAAGGTCTATTTTTAGGTGGGTACCCGAGCGCGTACACCCGGGACAGGAACAAAAAATTCCCCTCAGCCCCCGCAACCGTCGGTTGCGCTGGCCTCGATGCGAGCACCGATACCTCCCTTTGGTGCAATGAGAGGGCGCGGCCTCGGGCAGCTGTTCCCCGGGCTGGGCACCTCTTCAATATTATTGTCCTCAGTTCTCCCTCTGTCCTTTGACAGAGAAGCCCCTGAGCGCACTCTGTCCAAAAACAAAGACGCAAATGAGAGATGATATGTAGATGTGTACCTACTCAAAAAGAGTAAAATACACACTGCTACACAGACAGACACACTTACGACTATACATTATTATCTGATTCTAACACGGACAAGGTAGAAGTTTTATACACTTACATACACTTAGCATATATTTACCTCTTTCTGGTAGGCTTAGAATCCGTTATATTCTAGATGGACACATGGTCTCAGCTTGAATTTCCAACGCCACGAATTATACTAACGTTGCTGTAAAAGAGTCGAATGCGCGGGAAACATTATTGACCAATGAAATTTCTTTCTTCTTTCTCTCTATATCTAATTCTATGATGAAGCTTTAATAAAAGGGGAACATGTTAGATTGATAAACGCTTCCTGTTTGTTCTTTGTCTTATCATCAATATTCTAACTGTTTTCAATAATATCTTCGTCTAGATGTTACGGGTGGAAGAATGAGGAAGCAAAAAGGACCCATGTATTTAAAATCGGAAAGAGACAGTTGAAATATCTGGGTCATGTAATAAAGTAGGAGTTCTTGGAGAATTTGACACCTGCAGGACATATTGAAAGTAATTAGGAGCAGAGGAAAATAAGCATCTATCTATCTATCTATCTATCTATCTATCTATCTATCTATCTAATTCTATTCATTATCTATCTATCTATCTAATTCTGTTCATTATCTATCTATCTATCTATCTATCTAAATTAATGGCAGAACACAAGGAGTGGGGATGTTAGTAAAGGGACATACGTTGCTGCAAAGGAGAGTAAGTTGTGCGGAGGCATGATTGCTCGTATCCAGAAGAAAACAATTTACTACTAATTCCTCGTTTTCACTGCATCTACGGGGCTTTTAACAGTACTCCACAACTTCCTCAGCTTTTTGGCAAGGCGAAAATAATTTCTACTTGAATTTATGGGACAAAAAGTGAACCTTATTTTTATTTTTTGGAATCGTTTCATCCCAAGCAAGACGATAATCTCACTAAGACGTAAGGGGGTTACTGGAAGTGAAAGAGAATGAAAATCCGTTCCTAAACAGGGAACTATAAGACCGCGGAGGAGTGTGAACTTATCTACTCTTACTGAGGTGAAAAATAATTAGTATTAAAATTTCAGAGTTCAGATGGAGCCCTCAGAAGTAAAAATTTAGAAGGAACCAGAAGCCCAATCCTAAACATAAAACAAAGGATAAATATGTACTCCTGTTAAAAAAGCCGAGATGTGTGAACCTGGCGATATGCAAACCTATCTTCTGCTATTGAGGAAACAAATAAGTAGTAAATAAAATGTAAAAGTCGGAACAATATATATATATATATATATATATATATATATATATATATATATGTATATATAGATAGATAGATAGATAGATAGATAGATAGATAGATAGATAAATATTTCACCGCAAGCAAGGCGATGAAGCCACTAAAACACAAGGGGTTAGTGAGATTGAAAGAATCTCAGAAAAACATTATTAACTAGATAGGACAATAAAAGAACAGAATTTAAGGGAACACAATTTGACGATTGACATTGCATTTTTTTGAAGATCAATGTTGACTGAAAAGTAAAAAGCCAGAAGTGAGTTTTTACAAGCAAAAATAGAACGATAACAACAGAATAGTAACCAGGAAGACAGTAGATAACGATTGACATTGCATTATAATTTTCGAAGATCAATTTTTACTGGAAAGCAAAAGCCGGAACAGAGTTCAACAAGCGTGCCATGAAATAATCTGTTAGTATAGAACATTTTTATGTTTACATTTAGCAATATCAACTGTAAAAAGGATAAAACCAAGACACCAGTGTAGTACTGCGCTTAGATTCGTAATGTCTAGGAACCAAAGAGAAAAGCTCATCAAAACAGTTGCAATGAAAATACCTCACACGCATTTATAAAAGAATAATGGTACAGGGAGAGAGAGAGAGAAAAGGATATTAAAAAGATGAATATGTTTAAGAGATACAAATGTTAGGAAAGTGTCATGATCACCCATTTTTCTAAATAGACACGTCACATAGAAAAGGAAGCTCCCTATGGCTAAAACGCATTCGTTTACATAGTTCTCAGTGGATCGCCTTTCCTACCCAGTCATGCTTATTCTAGTATCCTTTGTAGCTAAATTTAGTATAACCCCTAATTATATGGTTCATTACCTTATCTTTATTTCCAAACAGACAACAGTTACTGTGCTTTATTTATCTTTGTCATTAAATCGTTGGTTTATAGTCTTGAATTTTTCCTGACACTGCTTTTGTGTAGATATCTTGGATACCTGAGAAGACACTGCCTGTTAAGTCACAACAAGGATCTCAGACACACGGTACTTTTTGAAGTATGCTTGTTGTACCCAAGACAGACTTTTCAAAGTTCACAATGTGTACGACGTTTGATCAAAAAGTATCGGGATTTTTGTTATTTTAACAGCTAGCCTATGCAGAGAAAAGCCGCTCGGAAGGTATTGACCCTGAACTCACACGCGTCTGCGCATATAACATTCTAGACCACGTCCGTTGTTTATAGCAGTGCTTGGAAGGAAAGTGTGTAGAGTGTGGTCGCCTCACCACACCACAGTTTTCTCATCAGTGACCATGTCCTTTGCAGCGGTTTTTGGCCACGGGCACATTTCCCAGGTCCTATAATGACCATATTCCCCACCTCTCGACCCTTGCGACCTTTCTCTCTACAAAAATTAAATCCCACTTGAAAGGTCCAAGATTTCAAGACCCTGAAGAAGTTCAAGAGAATGTGACGAGGCTTGTTGTCTAAAAAAAAAAAAACAAACTTCCATGAATACTTCCACTAATGGAAACGACGCTGGCTAAAGTGTGTGGCTTCAGAAAGGGAACTGCTTCGAAGGAGATTAAATGTCAAATTGATATGTACCGTAGTTTTCTTTTTATAGAATCAGTTCTGATACTTTTTGACCATTTCTCATATTTTACACCAAGTTGTTCAATATGTTCTTTAAACTTCGATGCGATATAAGCTAATTGCTCTAATCATTATCGGCATAACTTTAACAAGTTTATTATTCTTATTATTTTTATTTTATTTCCTTTGATTTCTGATGTGTACTCATTTCTTTCCGGGTTCCGCACAGGGAACTAAGGTTAGAAATGGCATCATGACACTTTCCACTAAAAAAAAAAAAACTTTACATAGACAAAGCCCTTCGTAAAGTGTGGGCTGTACTTTTGAGAACAATTTTTTGTATCTCTCTGAGGCATGGGCTTCCAGGAATCCCTTCAGTGAGTCATGGTATGAGTTATTATTATTATTATTATTATTGAAAGAACTTTTTTTTTTTTAAAATTGTGTATCGGGTCAGATTATATTAAAATGGGAAAACAAAAAACTCAAAAGGGATAAAAACAAAATAACAAAACAGACGCCAAAATGACTTGAATGCAATTACAAAATAAACAAAAATGAAATAAAAAAAACGAGTGAGAATAAAAGAAAATCAAAGATAAATAGCAATAAAACAAATACTTATAGCGAATAATCTGATAAAAATACAAAAAGGCCAATAATACAACAACGTCTTAACTCTCAATATAATCTAAGACTAGGAAACATTGACTTCTATTTTCTCATCAGTGACCAAAAAAAATGAAAAAATAAAAACGTAATTAAGATGAATACAATGGACGCTTCTAAAAAAAAAATTGAAAAACAGCCCCCCCAATTACCCGCGATTATTTGCTATTTTGCACGATTGTATACGTTTCTTATTTTATTTACAGGAAAAGAAAGAAGATAGCATTTAAATATATTCAGATAAAAGTGAACAAAAGAAAATCGTTAGAAAGACTAAAAAAACAACAACAAAAAACCAAAACAAACAAAAAAAAAAAACAAAAAAAACCCCAAAACCCCCCAAAAAACAGAAGATAATCATATAATTAATTTCGACTTGAACGTTGGCTTCTATTTAATAAACGATTTAATTATTGAAATCACGCTGGTATTGTCTGATTACCAGCCAAGTCGAAGTTTGGAGGTCGGGTCGTGTGGGATGAACAATGAAGCAAGGGATGTGTGAACCTTCGTTTATTGGACAATATATCAAATGGCTTGTCATTTGGAATCCCAAAACCTCACTTTCACCGTTCGCCTCCCAACCTTAACATTTCATGTTTTGATTTTCTTGCTCACAACGCTTGTCACTTAGCCAACGCCAGAGGTTTCCTTTATTATTTTATTATAATTATTATTATTATTATTATTAGTAGTAGTAATAGTAATAGTAGTAGTAGTAGTAGTATTATATTGATTTTATTATTATTGTTATTATTATTATTATTTTATTGATTTTAGTATTATTGTTATCGTCATTATAATTACTTTATTATTAGTAGTAATAGTAGTATATTGATTTTATCATTATTATTATTATTAGTAGTAGTATATTGATTTCATTATTATTATTAGTATTAGTATTAGTATTAGTATATTGGTTTTATTGTTATTATTATTATTATTTTATTATATTGATTTTAGTATTATTGTTATCATCATTACTATTACTTTATTATTAGTAGTATTAGTATATTGATATTATTATTATTATTAGCAGTAGTAGTATATTGATTTTATTATTATTATTATTGTTATTAGCAGTAGTAGTAGTATATTAATTTTATTATTATTATTATTATTATTAGCAGTCGTAGTATATCGGTTTTATTGTTATTATTATTATTATTATTTTATTATATTGTTTTAGTATTATTGTTATCATCATTATTACTACTATATTATTATTATTATTAGTTGTACTAGTATATTGATTTTATTATTATTATTATTATTATTATTAGTAGTAGTAGTATATTGATTTTATTATTATTGTTATCATTATTATTATTGTATTATATTGATTTTATTATTATTATTATCATTGTTATTTACTATTATTATTTTATTTTATTTATTTCATTATTATTTTTATTTTATGATATTGACATTATTATTATTGTTATCATTATTTTTATTATATTGATTTTATTATTATTATTGTTATCATCATCATTATTATTTTAATAATATCTTCATTATTTTATTTTATTATTATCACTATCATTTATCATTATTATTAATTTTATTGTATTATTATTATTATTATTAACAAGCAAAATGATTGACGTAAGTCTTAATTTAAAAAGAGAAAAAGTAAAAAAAGACAGTGTTTAACAATATTTCGACAATATATCTGTTTGAAAATGGCAACAGAAAGAGCACTTCTACTCAGAAACAGGAAAATACAGCTGAAATTCCTTGAACGATTAATGAAGAAATAAGAGATGTTTGAAGGTTTAACCCTCATGGGGGGGATATCGAGGGCAAGAGAGACAAGGGAAACGGAAAACGAGTCACCTACCTGACGAGTTTGTGTAAAGGGAGGGAGGAACGTTGGTTGGGGCTGGATCCTTTGAAAAGGGAGAAAAACTGCTAAGAGTTACACAAGATAATCGATTATGATTCTCTACAACTTCCTATATCCCGAAGTAACGTGAGAAACAGAAGTAGTAGCAGTAGTAACACATAATATATATACATAAATATAAAGTAAAAGTTAACAGATCAAATATTGTGATTTAAAAAACTACAAACGAAAAAATTCTTTCAAATAGATATAACTGTATGTAAAAGACATTTGAAAAAGATGACAATAAGACAAAAAGATGACAAAAAGATGACAATAAGACA